ATAAATCAGTAATCATTTTTTAAAAAATTAGCTTCATTACACATGGACACATTACAGAAAGGTATGTGCGTGCAAATTTCAACAAAACGAGTACGTGCAACGAGAAAATCCATAAAGAACTGATATTGATGTAATAGTAAGGCATGTTACAGCATTCTAATGTACTTACTTCGTTCCTCTTCTTGTTTTATACGTATGAATTTACCATCTCTATCTATTTATCAAATACATCTGATCTCGAGATTATTCATCGTTCGTTTCGTCGTGATTTGTCGTCGTCGCCGAGAAATTTATCGTCGTTCGTCCCGTTCAGCAATAAATTGGCCAACGACGCAAAGTGTCGCGACGCGTACACTAACGACCAAGAGGCGAAACGACGGCAGTAGCAACGGCGTGCCTTGAAATAACGCGTACTATTAGATTTATCGAAACGACATCGTAGCGCAGGGAAAGAAACGAGAAACCAGTTCCGGAAACTGTCAGACAGAAAAGAAAGAGCGGTGCTTTTAATGCGCCGCAATCCATATAGACCAAGAGAGACTTCCGCACCACCTGAAAGGTCAAAGCCTTAAATCCAGCGTTGCCAATGGCAACTTGCTTGGTCGATTGGTCAAAAGCACTTTCTACTCCATTATTTTTCGACTTTATATATCTCATATGCCAAAAAATCCCATTGATCGTGTCCTCCCGCCAAATGCAACAAATGAAATTTAAATTTAAAGATCGTCTCGTAAGAAAAGGAGAAAGAAATTATCGAATGCATTCAAGTCTGTGAAAGTGACTGAAATTCGTAATTTAGAGGAATAAAATATTCTATCGAGAGTAAATAGAAAATTATACAGAGCAAGATGCATCATCACGTAAAAATGTAATCGTCCACTTTGATCGCTCGTTTGTATATAGCTTTGTCCTCAATTTTATGAAACTTTTCTCGAAACTCCTTCTCGAACTGTCTCAGATGCCTGCAATGCATTCAGTCGATACGATTATTTTACTCTCGAGACTAACGTAAAACGTATGTGCACGTACTTAAATTGGTTTTTCGCTAACTGATGAGACAACAGGATCTTCTCGATAAGTGGCTTCGAGTATACGTCCGCGAGATTCTTGATCCTGCAATGAACGTCAGCCTCATCCTCGGTCAAAAGCATGCAATTCCACGGTGACCATTCCTCGTTCACGTCGTATCGAACGATTCGCAATAGAAACAGATCTCTGTTTTCGCTAACGACCGACTGGCCATGCCAAATATTGTTCACCAAATGGCACATATCCTGCTTTTGCATCATAAACGCAATGGCTGAGGGTGATCTTCTTTTTATCTCCTCGCGACGCACACAGTCTAGCAGAAATACGTAAGGATCGTAGTTCACATGTCTAATATTTCGTTCACGCAGCCAAGTACATCCTTAAACCGGTAAAAGAGAATTTAGAGCACGTTTTTCATTCGAATATTTCGATAAAAATGTCAGAACTAGATCAATCAAGTAGATACCAACGCAAGTAGACAGCCTTTTCATCCTTCCATGAGTAGTGAATTGACGAATAGGAAGCAATTTCAAACAACTGTGACATAATTTCGTCGTAGGTTCGATCGGTTCTCGCAATTTTTCATCGTCTACATTCTTACAAAAGTCTCTATCGTTGTTCGCGCAACAGCACGAATGTGATGTCCGTAAAAACTTCAAGTAACTGTCTGCATCGTCAAAGAGAAGAAAGGAAGAAGTTTTATTAGCAATTCTTCTGCCAACTTGGAACGTCCAAGCCAAAATCTCCTATATTATGTTTTTTTCCTTACAAACTATCCTTTCGCGGAAGTAGCCCAGCGACATGCTTTTCATCTCTCTTGCCAAGTAGGTCAGCTCCTCGTCCAATAGTCGTATCAGATGAAACGCAGGCACGCAGTTGTGCATCTCCAATGATTTCTTCAGCATCGTGAGCATCTCTATGCGTTCGCCGCGAGTAACATTATAATTCATTAACGAATCGTAAATCATCTTCAATTCCCTCGCCTTCTGGTTTCGCATCGTGTCCATTTCCAATAGCTTGTTCTTGCAACCGTTCCACAAAATAGGCTTGCAATTCACCGTAACAAATTTCACGAGTTTCTGCTTCCTGTACCTTCTCTTCACCGCCTGTCTCTTCTCGTCGATTACATTCAACATTTCTATGGTCTTCTCCAAGATTCTGTGATTTTCTGCGCATCTCGCGGGTCTAAAGAAACGTAGCTTCGCACATTCAAGGCGGTCGCGTCTCCATTTTTCAACCAAATCATATAACAAATCGAAATCCAGCCGAGTTCTGGGATTCATTCTTCGAAGGATCTCCTGCTGATGCCTCTTCCTGAAATGTGAATCGAACAAATACATTTTCGAATCGAGCAATTGAATGCATTTTATAAGTTTTAGATTTTAGACGTTACATACCTGTATAACATTATCTTTTCTGCTTCGTACAACTTACATCCTTTGACCAACTCTCGATATTGCCTCGCGTATTCTTTGATATATTTCAGCAATTTGTATACTCTATAGTTCCTTTGGATAATTCGTGCCTTTCCATCGTAATCCAGTCGTTTCATCATTTCTTCGTATGTTTCATAGGGTTTTGATGTTATATATTTATCCGATTCGCTCGATATAAAATAATCTGATCTAAACGAAAGAGAAAAATACAAATTAACGAGAAGGAATGATGAAAGCAATTTAACGATTAAGAGAAAAAGGAACTTGTAGGTGGGCAAATGATCCGTAATACTGAAGAGAAAATTGTAAGGATCTTTTTTAATCTGATGATGCAAGAAAACCATGTGTACCGCCACATTTGTGTTGGATGATCGCATGGTGTTTGTGTACATACATCTGACCAAGAAATATATTGCACCCCTTTGCTGCACTTTTCTATTTCTGGCTTTTTTGGTGGATCTGTTTGCGATTCGGCATTTAAATACTCTGTTTGGGTAAATTTGTGTTTCCATCCTCCTAAATAAGGTTTCTTTATTCTTTGATCTTCTACTTCTATGGAACCACAACAAACCATTTTGAAACTTTTTACACATTAATAATTCAAAATGTTTTAAATAAAAAATATTCGCATAATTGATAACAATTTGGTTTTTAGGTAATAATAAATTAAACATTGAATATAGGTTCAAATTTAAACAAATCTTGTATTCATTTTTTTTATTAATGTACACACACACACACA